CAGACATTGCAGGGATAGGCTCAGCACTCAAGGTAGTCAGAGTGTCCTCGGACACTTGAGGTAACTGGACACTATCTTGCAAGCCTGAAGTTGCAGGTGGAACACAGACAGGAGTGACAGGATCACCAGTGCCTGACCGCTTGGGTACACTACTGGAAAATGCACTGGCTTGTAAGGATTTAATCCAAACGTCATACTCTGCGGCAGTATGGCAGATCTCGGATCCAGCTGGTAACCCCAAAATGGTACGATCAAGTCATCAATTTGGGCATGCCTTCGATAAGGGTCGAGCACAATGCGTAAGTCTCGCATGGAAGCAAATCCCAGTAGATCACCAGGGAAAGTAATCTGGTTGACAACAAGGAAGGAAGCAGTAAAGTCTCTACCTTGGATAGAAAAGGTGAGGGAAGTCCGACCTCGGACATGCAGGTGAGAACCAGCTACCCCACTAAGGGAGGACACATGAGTCAGTTCTGCGAGAAGGACATGTCATAACTGCTTATCCCTAAACAAATTAGACCTGATAATATTGACTTGCACACCAGAGTCCATGAACAAATGAACGGGTGCATTATGAACAGATGCTTGCACTATAGGGCCTATGGTTGCATTGGAAGTTATGTGCAAACAAAAAGGTGGATTGTCATCAGAAAAGATTTGTTCCATTTCATCCCCAAAATCATCTATGTCAGAGACGTGTGAAGCAACATCATCAGCAGGATTGCCATTCTCGAGACTGTTTAAGGCTTCAAAGGAATTGTGAACAGGGATGGTGTACTCATTATTACCTACTGTCACCATGGGATGGTTTGACTGGGGTGCTCGAATTCCCCCGAATTGGAAGAAGGAGCCTGGTTCTAGTTAGTCTGAGAACCACGACGTCTGTTTCCTCTCCTGGTTCTGTGGTTGGAACGGCCACGGAAAGATCTAGAGTACTGAAGGTTGTAGAGAGCATTGCACTCAGATGTGTCATGTCCATGTATTCTACGATAAGTACAGTAGGGAAGATCTGACTGGTACTCATAATCAGTACGACGCCTCTTAGGGTGGCTATCAGGACAATTAATTGCAATATGGCCATGGAAACCACGGTTGTAACAAGTCCGCTGACTATGGTTACTGAATGTACTATGAATACTACGAGGTTTATAATGACTCTTTACACTGGTCCTTGGTGATCGCTGCGATGGTTGACGACCACGATTTGTCACTGTGACGCAAACAAGAGGTGGTGCAGACTGAGGCATAGGTGTGAAATTACTTTTGATACACGGGAAAGTACCCTGGGGGCACAAGGAACATACATGATTTAGGGCTGTAAGTGGTTCCATCATCACAGTTGGAGGATTAGCCTCATAAGCACACAAGGAAGCAGGTGGCATTAGTTCTTTGATTGCTCCAAAAGCTGCTATTTTAGCAAACAATGCTGTGGATCATTTATCCTCGTCAGGAACAAAAGCTGAGGACTGGACAGCATTGATAAGTTATGATAAAAGTTTATCTAATCTAACAGCAAATGCACTCAATGATTCATTAGTCATGGGTGTAGCATTCACGAGTTCCCTAAGAACGACATATGGATCAGCTGTTTTTACTGGTACAAGGAAAGAATGAATCAGTTCCTCATATTGTGACCACTTAGTAAGATTCCTGAAATCTCGCATTTCAAGGAGATCAACAATGTGAACAGCAGCAGGGGACCGATGAAGAGCTTCTTTTGCAAGTCTGATAAAACTTTCCTCTGAAGGAGGACTGTCAACTAGAGCATTAACACGAGAATGAATGGCAGTAAACCATGCTTCAAGACTATGTACATGGCCATTGAATAAAGATAACGCATCAAGGGAATCACGAGTAAAACTATAGTGTTTCAGTGTCTGGGTCGGTCTGTCAGTCGATAAGGAACTATGAGGACTGATGACAGGAGCAGCAGTAGCCTGAGAGGTCTGAGTGTCGCCATTCACTAAGCATCTCTAAACGGAAAATACTGAAGTCTGAAAGTGGTAGACAGCGCTGATGGGTGATGAGGGGAAGACGTGGTCCTGTGGGCTGGTGATGATTCCTCCTACACTCACACTGTTGTTGTGAAGAAATGCGCTTTCTAGGTGAACTCACATAACTGGTTTTATCGTTGGCGCACAGCTGCAATCTGACCAATTATGTGAGCCAAAACAGTACTAGGACCCGGTACAAGGGTGGAAAAACCCACAGGTAAATGAGGTGGGGAGTGGGTGGCAGGTGGGTGAAGGGAGCGTGACTCAACTCGCTGGTGCTCACTGGCGCACAGTCTCACCACTCACAAGAAAACTCCAGGTGGCTTAACTAAGCCACAATATGCCACAGGGATGGTGAAGACCACTCTTACCAGCATCCAACTGGGAGCACAAAGCGATGTATGAGACAATACTTCAGATGAACCTGCGTGGCTTACTTCTCTCTCTCAGCTGGGTTAGGAAGCTGGGTTGTCATGCTGGCTTAACCCACGACAATAGCTGACTCGAAGACGTGTAACAATGCACACAGCATGAAGGAGCAGGTGGATGACAGGAGACAGGCTGGATGATGGGCTGAGGCAGGCTGACTGGCGCTCACTCCCACACTCTGGCTCACTGGCTGGCTTAATTGCAAAATCCGGATCAACCCCTTGGAGATTGAAGCAATTAGCACACGAACTAAGCCAGGAAGCTTGAAAGATGGCTGCACTGGTTTTTAAGCTGGAGCGGCCAGTTGAGGCTGGCAGAAGTGACCTCTGACATGCCGGCATCCCACAACAATCTTCTAACATCTGAAATACCCATAAATCCATGCCCACACCGCTGTCACCCATTGTCATGTGGGGATTCGAAACGTGGATGGGGTAAGAACACTCACGTAGGTTGGTTAGTACGTATAATTATAACGGAAAGTATGGGAAGCACCATCAGCCGCCCTGCCTCTCTGCTCTCTATCTTAAGACTGACCCACCAGTGCCTAGGGGGTACTGGTACTAATGAGAGAAGAAATACTTCTTAACATCCTTGTGATTCATCTGCGTCTTCAGCTTCCAACTGTGCCCCCTTGTTGCTGTGTCCCATCTCTGGAACATTCTGTCTCTGTCCACCTTATCAATTCCCCTCATTTATTTTATATGTCATTATCATGTCCCCCTTATCTCTCCTGTCCTTCAGTGTCGTCATGTCAATTTCCCTTAGCCTCTTCTCATTGGACATACCCCTTAGCTCTGGGACTAGTCTTGTTGCATACCTTAGCATTTTCTCTAGTTTCTTTACATGCTTGGCTAGATGTGGGTTTCAAACTGGTGCCACATACTTCAATATGGGCTTAACATACACAGTGTATAGAGTCCTGAACGATTCCTTATTAAGATGGCAGAATGCTGTTCTTAGGTTTGCTAGGTGCCCATATGCTGTAGTAGTTATTTGGTTGATGTACACCTCAGGAGATGTGCCTGGTGTTATACTCATCCCAAGATCTTTTTCCTTGAGTGAGGTTTGTAGTCTCTGGCCCCATAGACTGTACTCCATTTGCAGTCTTCTTTGCCCTTCCCCAGTCTTCATGACTTTGCACTTGGTGGGGTTAAACTCCAGGAGCCAATTCCTGGACCAGGCCTGCAGCTTGTCCAAATCCCTCTGTAGTTCTTCCTGGTCCTCTTCCGATTGAATTCTTTTCATCAACTTCACATCATCTGCAAACAGGGACACTTCGGAGTCTATTCCTTCTGTCATGTCGTTCACAAATACCAGAAACAGCACCAGTCCTAGGACTGACCCATGTGGAACCCCACTCGTCACTGGTGCCCAATATGACACCTCGCCGCATATCATGACTTGATGCTGTCTTCCTGACAAGTATTCCCTGATCCATTGTAGTGCCTTCCCTGTTATTCCTGCCTGGTCCTCCAGTTTTTGCACTAATCTCTTGTGTAGAACTGTGTCAAACGCCTTCTTACAGTCCAAGAAAATGCAATCTACCCATCCCTCTCTCTCTTGTCTTACTGCTGTCACCCTGTCATAGAACTCCAGTAGGTCTGAGACATAGGATTTCCCATCCCTGAAACCTTGTTGGCTGTTGTTGATAAGGTCATTTCTTTCTAGGTGTTTCACCACTCTTCTGATAATCTTCTCCATGACTTTGCATACTATACACGTCAGTGACACTGGTCTATAGTTTAGTGCTTCTTGTCTGTCTCCCTTTTTAAAAACTGGGACTACATTTGCTGTCTTCCATACCTCAGGTAATCTCCCTGTTTCGTTGGATGTATTGAATATTGTTGTTAGGGGTACACATAGCATCTTTGCACCCTCTCTCAGGACCCATGGAGAGATGTTATCTGGCCCCATCGCCTATGAAGTGTTTAGCTCGCCCAGATGCCTCTTCACTTCTTCCTCGGTTGTATGTATTGTGTCCAACACTTGGTGGTGTACCCCACCTCTACATCTTTCTGGAGTCCCTTCTGTCTCCTCTATGAACACTTCTTTGAATCTCATGTTGAGTTCCTCACATACTTTGCAGTCATTTCTTGTGTGTGTGTGTGTGTGTTAGTTACCATTTTGTCCTAGACACATGTTGATTAGATAGACACTTAGGCCTGTTGTATATGCATGAATACATGTGTATGTATGCATGTACTCACCTAGTTGAACTCACCTAGTTGAGGCTGCAGGGGTCGAATCCTAGCTCCTGGCTGTGTGTGTGTGTGTGTGTGTGTGTGTGTGTGTGTGTGTGTGTGTGTGTGTGTGTGTGTGTGTTGTGTGTATGTGTGTGTGTGTGTGTGTGTGTGTGTGTATGTGTGTGTGTGTGTGTGTGTGTGTGTGTGTGTGTGTGTGTGTGTGTTGTGTGTGTGTGTGTGTGTGTGTGTGTGTGTGTGTGTGTGTGTGATGTGTGTGTGTGTGTGGTGGTGTTTGTAATGCATAAACATCCATCCCAGAAGCATACTTGACTGTTCATTAAATATGGAGGAGTGGCAGTATACATAAGAGTAAGAAGGAATGGTATTGCAGGGTACACGAGACATGTTGCCAGGAACTATGGTGCATCCTTCAGCCTGGGTCAAGTACAACATCAAGTGGCGGGGGTTGACCCTGCCGGTGCTGACCTGTGAGCCCCTGGGCCGCTTGGGTAACGTGATGGGAGAGTACGCCACCTTGTATGCTCTAGCACACATTTACAATGTGTCAGTTGTCATCCATCCTAAGATGAAGAACCAACTTCAAGACCATTTTCCCTACACCTCCTTGCCTGACCTGCCAGGTTAGTCCTCTACACCTGCCTGACCTGCCAGGTTAGTCCTCTACACCTGCCTGACCTGCCAGGTTAGTCCTCTACACCTGCCTGACCTGCCAGGTTAGTCCTCTACACCTGCCTGACCTGCCAGGTTAGTCCTCTACACCTGCCTGACCTGCCAGGTTAGTCCTCTACACCTGCCTGACCTGCCAGTTAGTCTTCTACACTTGCCTGACCTGCCAGGTTAGTCCTCTACAACTGCCTGACCTACCAGGTTAGTCCTCTACACCTGCCTGACTTGCCAGGTTGGTCCTCTACACCTGCCTGGCCTGCCAGGTTAGTCCTCTACATCTGTCCGATCTACCAGGTTAGTCCTCTACACCTATCTGACCTGCCAGGTTAGTCCTCTACACCTGCCTGACCTGCCAGATAAGTCCTCTACATCTGTCTGACCTACCAGGTTAGTCCTTTACACCTGCCTGGCCTGCCAGTTAGTTTTCTACACCTGCCTGACCTGCCAGGTTAGTCCTCTACACCTGCCTGACCTACCAGGTTAGTCTTCTACACCTGCCTGACCTGCCATGTTAGTCTTCTACCTGCCTGACCTACCAGGATAGTCCTCTACACCTGCCTCACCTGCCAGGTTAGTCCTCTACACCTGCCTGACCTGCCAGGTTAGTCCTCTACACCTGCCTGACCTGCCAGTTAGTCTTCTACACCTGCCTGACCTGCAAGGTTAGTCCTCTACACCTGTCTGACCTGCCAGATTAGTCTTCTACACCTGCCTGACCTGCCAGGTTAGTCCTGTACACCTGCCTGGCCTGCCAGTTAGTCTTCTACACCTGTCTGACCTGCCAGGTAAGTCCTCTACACCTGTCTGAACTTCCAGGTTAGTCTTCTACACCTGCCTGACCTACCAGGTTAGTCTTCTACCTGCCTGACCTACCAGGCTAGTCCTCTACACCTGCCTCACCTGCCAGGTTAGTCCTCTACACCTGCCTCACCTGCCAGTTAGTTTTCTACACCTGCCTGACCTGCAAGGTTAGTCCTCTACACCTGTCTGACCTGCCAGGTTAGTCCTTTACATCTACCTGGCCTGCCAGGTTAGTCCTCTATGCCTGTCTGACCTGCCAGGTTAGTCCTCTATGCCTGTCTGACCTGCCAGGTTAGTCCTCTATGCCTGTCTGACCTGCCAGGTTAGTCCTCTGCACCTGCTTAACCAGCCAGGTTAGTTCCCTAAAATACTGTAGTCTTTGGCATTAAACGTACTTTTTGAAGCAAATAAACTAGTACTGTATTACAAAACGTTATAAATAATCCTTTAAAATTATGTAGATCACTGTAAAATTGATTTTTATCACTGTATAAATGATATACGGTGGTCCATGGCCTGACGGCAAGGCTCTCGCTTCACACGCTGAGTGTCCGGGTTCGATTCCCGGCAAGGGTGAAAACATTGGGCGTGTTTCCTATCGCCTATTGTCCATGCTTGCCCATCAGTAAAATAGGTACCTGGGTGTTAGTCGACTGGTGTGGGACGCATCCTGGGACAAAATTGACCTAATTTGCCTGAAATGCTCAGATCACATCATGGTTGATCAGGCCCTGATCCACCATGAGGCCTGGTCACAGACCGGGCTGCGGGGGCGTTGACCCTCGGAACTCCAGGTAATAGAGGTTTAGACATGTATGTGTGGGGCCCCAGACCAACAAAATGTGATCAGTCACGAGGGAACCTTCACCAAATTCAACTGAAAATAACACAAACATAAAGTGGGACCAAGTAAACCAGGTCCTTAATGATATAAACTGGGAAGATAGACTAAGCACCACGGATCCAAACCTGTGTCTAGAACAAATTAACTCCATGGCACTTGAGGTATGCTCAAGGCATATTCCTTTAAGGAAAAGGAAGAGAAGATATAAACTAGAAAGAGAAAGCTGCTCCCTATACAAGCGAAGACAAACAATAACAGAGCGGCTAAAAGAGGCAAATTTATCTGTAATACGAAGGGTAGACACTGGTCAAAGAAATAACAAACATCCAACTAAAGCTGAAGAAATCCTACAGGAATCAACAAACGAGGAAAGAACTAAAAGCTATAAATAAAATTAAAAGAAACCCAAAATGTTTCTTTTCTTATGCCAAATCAAAGTCGAGAACAACATCCAGTATTGAACCCCTATTTAAACAAGATGGGTTCTACACAGATGACAGCAAGGAAATGAGTGAGCTACTCAAGTCCCAGTATGACTCGGTTTTTAGCGAACCGCTAACGAGACTGAGAGTCGAAGATCTAAATGATTTTTTTTTATGAATGAGACACAGAATTTGGTAGACTCGAACCTATCTGATATTACCATGACGCCAAATGACTCTGCCCCAGGCCCAGACTCGTGGAACTCCGTGTTCATCAAGAACTGCAAGAAGCCTCTGTGGAGAGGGAGTATGGTCATAGGGGTCGTCCCACAGCTGTTAAAAACAACAGACATAGCCCCACTCCACAAAGGGGGTAGTAAAGCAATAGTAAAGAACTACGGACTGATAGCACTAACATCCCATATCATAAAAATCTTTGAAAGGGTTTTAAGAAGCAAGATCACCACCCATCTAGATACCCATCAGTTACACAACCCAGGGCAATATAGGTTTAGAGCACGTCGCTCCTGTCTGTCCCAACTACTGGACCACTATGACAATGTCCTGGATGCTCAAGAAGACAGACAAAATGCAGATGTAGTATACACAGACTTTGCAAAAGCCTTTGACAAGTGTGACCATAGTGTAATAGCGCACAAAATACATGATAAAGGAATAACAGGAAAAGTTGGTAGATGGATCTAGAATTTCCTGTGAAAAGCTCTGTTCCACAAGGCACAGTACTCACTCCCATCCTGTTCCTCATCCTCATATCTGACATAGACAGGGATGTAAGCCACAGCACAGTGTCTTCTTTTGCATGACAGTGTCCTCCATTGAGGACATTGCAAGACTCCAGGCGGACATCAACCAAATCTTTAAATGGGCCGCAGACAACAATGTGAAGTTCAGTGAAGTTCAATGTGAAGTTAAATTTCAATTACTTCGATATCGAAAACGTGAGGAAATTAAAACTTCATCAGAGTATAAAGCAAATTCCAACCCCACAATAAAGCAAAAAATTAATGTAAAGACCTGGGAGTGATAATATCAGAGGATCTCACCTTCAAAGACCACAACATTGTATCAATCGCATCTGCTAGAAAAATGACAGGATGGATAATGAGATCTTTCAAAACTAAGGGCGCCAAGCCCATGATGACACTCTTCAGGTCGCTTGTTCTATCTAGGCTGGAATATTGTTGCACATTAACAGCACCTTTCAAGGCAGGTGAAATTGCTGACCTAGAAAATGTACAGAGAACCTTCATGGCACACATAACTGCGAGAAAACACCTCAGTTACTCAACCTGTACTTCCTGGCATGCAGGCAGGAGAGATACATGATTATATACACCTGGAAAATCCTAGAGGGATTAGTACCAAACTTGCACACGAAAATCACTCCCTACGAAAGCAAAAGACTCGGCAGACGATGCAACATCCCCCAATAAAAAGCAGGGGCACCACGAGTACACTGAGAGACAGCACAGTAAGTGTCCGGGGCCCAAGACTGTTTAACTGCCTCCCAGCACACATAAAGGGAATTACCAATAGACCTCTGGCTGTCTTCAAGAAGGCACAGGACAAGCTTCTGAAGTCAGCAGCTGATCAGCCGGGTTGTGATTCATACGTAGGGTTGCATGTAGCCAATAATAGCAGCCTGGTTGATCAAGCCGTGATCCACCATGAGGTCCTGGTCACAGACCGAGCCGCGGGGGCATTGATCCCCGAAACCCTCTCCAGGTATACTCCTCGTATAGCAAGGAGCTTTCTATACAGTAGTATGTCATTAATGTCAGTTAAGCCTGTGTACCTTGTACATGTTTACCTGGAGAGTTTACCTGGAGAGACTTCTGGGGGTCAACGCCCCCGTGGCCCGGTCTGTGACCAGGCCTCTTGGTGGATCAGGGCCTGATCAACCAGGCTGTTACTGCTGGCCGCACAATCCAACGTACGAACCACAGCTCTGCTGGTCAGGTACCGACTTTAGGTGCCTGTCCAGTGCCTGCTTGAAGAGAGCGAGGAGTCTATCGGTAATCCCCCTTATGTATGCTGGGAGGCAGCTGAACAGTCTTGGGCCCCTGGCACTTATTGTGTTATCTCTTAACGTGCTAGTGTCACCCTTGCTTTTCATTGAGGGGATGTTGCATCGTCTGCCGAGTCTTTTGCTTAAGTAGGGAGTGATTTTTGTGTGCAAGTTTGGTACTAATCCCTCTAGGATTTTCCAGGTATCTCTCCTGCCTGCATTCCAAGGAGTACATGTTCAGGAACTTCAATCACTCCCAGTAACTGAGGTGTTTTATCTCAGTTATGCATGCAGTGAAGGTTCTCTGTATATTTTCTAGGTCAGTAATTTTACCTGCCTTGAAAGGTGCTGTTAGTGTGCAGCAATATTCCAGCCTAGATAGAACAAGCGACCTGAAGAGTGTCATCATGGACTTGGCATCCCTAGTTTTGAAGGTTCTCATTATCCATCCTGTCATTTTTCTAGCATCTGCGATTGATACAATGTTATGGTCCTTGAAGGTGAGATCCTCTGACGTTATCATCCCCAGGTCTTTGACATTTGTTTCTCACTCTATTGTGTGGATGGAATTTGTTTTATACTCTGATGAAGCTTTAATTTCCTCACATTTACCATATCGAAGTAATTGAAATTTCTCATCTTTGAACTTTATATTGTTTTCTGCAGCCCATTTAAAGATTTGGTTGATGTCCACCTGGAGCCTTGCAGTGTCTTCAATGGAGGACACTGTCGTGCACATTCGGGTGTCATCTGAAAAGGAAGACACGGCACTGTGGCTTATAGCCTGTTTATGTTCGATATGAGGATGAGGAACAAGATGGGAGCGAGTACTGTGTCTTGCGGAACAGAGCTTTTCAC